ATGGGGAAACAGACAAGTTGTATATTCTAATAATGCAAAGTATTAATGTAGGTAGTGCTAGAATCCTTACCCAGAGCTGGGATTTTAATGGGAAGGCAACAGATTTAATCTTGGGATAATAAATAAGTAAGCAATTTTAAGAAAAAAAGCACATAGTAAAACGTAAGTATTTCAGCAATAGTGCAACATTTTTGTTGATATTTTAAAGTCAGATCATTTTCAAGTTGATATTTTATAGTCAGATCACTGTCAAGTTAGATATTTTAGGAACTTAAATTAGTATTTAAGCTCTACAATGACTTTGTCTCTCTTTTTTTTTTTTTGTAAAGTGTCTGCATCTTCATTTATTCAAGTCTGTACATAAAATCCTTTTCCAAAATACTTCATGGGCAGACTACTTTGTTCCAAGTTAAATTCAAAGATGAACTGTACAAATAACTCTTTGATATAAACAACAAACAACAACAAACAATACTTAAAGATAGGCAGAGAAGTATTTTACTTTGATGTGAGAATAATGGCCCATGTATATCTACAGGTGTTTATGACTCTAGTCATTCTCTTCTGGTGCTGCTGTGGAGTTTGGTGCTCTATCATCTATGCCCTACTTAAATAACAATTTTCTCATCACTTTGGATATTGCTCACTTCAATCCTCTAGACCCTTCTAATTAAAATTAAAGCTTGAGACCTCTCACTAAATGTAGCAATAGTCATCAATTTAAATACACTACCAGGATTACAATAAGCAGGTGTGCCTCAGAAGCCATTGCTAAGTATGTATTCATCTCTTAGAAGCATTTTCAGAAACAAAGTATTTCCAATAGCTTTATGATACATATTCCCCAAGGTGTAGGGGCCATATAGACTCTCATAATCTTTCTAATTTGTATAACTCTAGGATGAGACATATAAAATTGATCAGCCTCCAATTCTGTTAACAATAACTCTCTCTCAGAATTCCAATTGTAGCCGTATCTGCTGTGCTGGGTTGATTAGGCAATCCTGCCTCAAACCAAATAACTCATGTTTCTGCATGAGTTAGTAAAATAATATCTTTAAACAGAATAGTATCCTTCTTGGACTTCCCACTTCCTGAGATATTGTTACTAAACATGGTTAGTTAGCTTTGTAAAATAAATATAAGGAAGCTGACTGCTCTCTTGAGAAATAATTTGGGTTTAATGTAAGAACATATTTAAAACACGACAATTGTATCAAAATAAAAAATGTGTACCCATTAGAGGTACTGAAGAAACTCATATGATGGAAGTGTTAGAAATTAAGTAAAGCCAACGGTGAAATGGTACTGAATTTTTATCCAGTTGGACACCGCGATTAATTTCAGATCAACTTCAAGAGACATTTGTTCTAGTAGGATGTTAATGTTATTTTGCCTACAGTTGAAAAGAATAATAATTTGGTGTACCAGGTCTTGTAGAAAATTCCTCGTGTTTGTGATATATATATCATTTGTTGTAAATTTAAGATACCAATCTTCCTCAAACTATGCCAAAAAATTGAAGAGGAGCCGGGCTCGGTGGCTCAGCCTGTAATCCCGCGCCTTTGGGAGGCTGAGGTGAGTGGATTGCCTGAGCCCGCGGGTTCGAGACCTGTTTGGGCAGGTGAGACCTCATCTCTACAATAAATCAAAAAATCAGCTGGGCATGGTAGCGCATGCCTGTAATTCTGGCTACTCAGAAGGCTGAGTTGGAAAGATCACTGGAGCACAGCAGGTCGAGGCTGCGGTGGCTGGGAGCGGCCACTGCACTCCAGTCTGGGCGACAGAGTGAGATTCCAACTCAAAAAAAAAAAAAAATTGAAGAGGAGATAATTTTCCAACATTACATATTCAAAGCCAACATTATTCTGATATTAAAATCAAACAAGGACACAACAAAGTAAGAAAACTATAAGCTAATATCTCTGACGAATATAGATGCAAAAATCCTGAACAACACACTAACAAACCAAATGCTGTAGCACATAAAAAGACGACATGCCATGATCAAGTAGAATTCATACCAAGAATGCAAGGATGATTTGGCATATGCAAATCAATAAATGTGATACATCACATTAACAGAATGAAGGACAAAAATCATATGATCATCTCTATAAATACAGAAAGAACATTTGATAAAATTCAACATCTATTTGTAATAAAAATTCTCAACAAACTAGGCATAGAAGGAATAGACCTCAAAATAATAAAGGCCGTATTGAATGGGGCAAAGTTGAAAGCCTTTTCTCTAAAAACTGGAACAAAACAAGAATGCCCACTTTTACCACTCATATTTAACACAGTACTGAGAGTCTTGGCCAAAGCAACCAGACAAGAAAAATAAACAAAAGGAATCTAAATTGGAATAGAAAAGATCAAATTGTCCCTCTTTGCAAATGACATATTATATTTAGAAAACCCCAAAACTCCACCAAAAAACTAGAGCTGATAAGCAAATTCAGTAAAGTTTCAGGATACAAAATTAACGTACAAAAATAAGCAACATTTCTATACACCAGTAATAAAATAGTTGGAAAAAAATGAAGAAGGTGATTCCATACAATAGGTACAATTTGAAAAATCCTAGTAGTACATTTAACCAAGGAAGTGAAAGGTCTCTACAAGAAAAACTACAAAACATTGATGAAAGAAAATGAAGAGGATATAAACAAATGCAAAGCCACCCCTTGCTTATGGATTGGAATAATTAATATCTTTTTTTTTTTGAGTTGGAGTCTCACTCTGTTGCCCAGACTGGAGTGCAGTGGCTGCTCCCAGCCACCCCAGCCTCGACCCGCTGGGCTCCGGCGATCCTTCTGCCTCAGCCTTTCAAGTAGCTGGAACTACAGGCATGCGCTACCACACGCAGCTAATTTTTTGATTTATTGTAGAGATGAGGTCTCACCAAGTTGCCCAGGCGAGTTTCGAACCTGTGGGCTCAGGCAATCCACTCACCTCAGCCTCCCAAGGCACGGTATTACAGGCTGAGCCACTGAGCCCAGCTAATTAATATCTTTAAAATGACCATACTTCCCCAAACAATCTACAGATTCAATGCAATCTTTATCAAAATATCAATGTCATTTTTCACAGAAATAGGAAAATCAATCCTAAAAGTCATATGGAACCAGAAAAAGAGACTGAATAGCCAAAACAGTCCAGAGCAAAAAGAACAAAGCTGCAAGCACCACACTACCTAACTTCAAATTATATTTCAAGGCTATAGTAACTGAAACAGCACTGTACTTGTACACAAGAAATGGACACAGAGACCAATGGAACAGAATAGAGAAACCAGAAATAAGTCCACATATTTACAGTCAAATGAGTTTTCAACAAAGACACCAAGAATACACCCTGGGGAAAGGACAACTTCTTCAATAAGTGGTGCTGGGAAAATTTGATATCAGTATGCAAGAAGAATAAAACTGAACCCCTATCTCGTACCATATACACAGATTAACTCAAGATAGATTAAAGACTTAATTGTAAAACCCCAAACCATAAAATTACTGGAAGATAACAGAGGAAAAATACTTCAGGACATTGGTCTAGGCAAACATTTTATGGCTAAGACTCAAAAGCACAGACAACTAAAACAAAAAGAGACAAACAAGACTATATTAAAGTAAAAAACTTCAGTATATAAAGGAAACAATCACTAGAATGAAAAAAATAACCTGTTGAATGGAGAAAATTTCTGCAAACTATTTATCCCCCAAGGGCTAATATCTACAATATATAAAGATCTTAAACAGTTCAAAAGCAACACACACACACACACACACACACACACGCACACACACACACACACACACACACACCCCACACCAATCCTATTCAAAAGTGGGCAAAGGACATGAATAGACATTTCTCAAAAAAAGATATACAAACAACCAACAGGTATGTAAAAAAAGTTCAACATCACTAATCACAAGGGAAATACAAATCAAAGCCACAATAAGATATCATCTTACCCCAGTTAGAATGGTTATTATCAAAAATATTTTAAAAAATAAGATGCTGGTGAGGATGTGGCAAAAAGGGAACTCAGATACAGTTGGTAGGAATGTTTATTAGTACAACCACTGTGAAAAACAGTATGGAAACTAAAAATAGAACTACCATTTAATTCTACAATCCCACTACTGGCTATCTACCCAAAGAAAAAGAAATCATTATATCTGAGGACACCTTCTCTCACGTGGTTATTTGCAGCACTACTCACAATAGCCAAGATATGGAATCAATCTGAGTTTCCATCAACAGACAAATGGATAAAGAGAGTGTGGTGTATATACACAATGGAATACTATTTGATCATAAAAAAAAGAATGAAATCAGGTCATTGCAACAATGTGGATGGAACTGAATGCCATTATGTTGAGTGAAATGAGCCCGCACAAATACCACATATTCTCACTCATATGTGGGAACTAAAAAACTTGATCTCATGGAGATAAAGGACAAAATGTTAGCTACCAGAGTCTGGGAAGGGTGTGAGGGTGGAAGGGGGAAGTGAAGAGGTTGGTGAATGGGTACAACCCTATAGTCAGATGGAAGAAATAAGTTCTAATGTTAGATAGTCAACTAGAGTGACTATAGTTAGCAACAACATACTCTGTATTTCAACATAGCTAAAAGAGAGGACTTGAAAGGCTAAAGCATATAGAAATGATAAATACGCAAGGTGATGAATACCCCAAATAACTGACTTGATCATTAAATATTCTACCCATGTGAAAAATACACATACCCCATATATATATCAATAAAAGAAAAAAAAAACCTACTTCTTTCTGTTTATGAAGAACCACGCTGCTCGATCAGTCCATAAGCGCCCCCGCCTTGCCCCCTCCCCACACCCACTCCTCACTAACTTCTCTCGCAAGACTCCACTCCAACCCTTGGGAGCCCCCTGCGCTTGCGCACGCTCAGGTCTTCCCCTCCAGCAGGGGGCCGACCTTGATTTTCCATCCTCTACGTGCTGTGGCATTCCCTCTTCCCTAAGTCTTTCATCATACGCTTCCTTAGCCACGGGTTGCCCTTAGCAACAGAAGGACGCGCGCCGGTGGATTTGATTCCTGGCTAGTTTCTAGCACCTGCTGACGCGCTGGGGCGCCGGCCGAATCATGTCTGAGATCCTGTGCCAGTGGCTCAACCAGGAGTTGAAGGTGTCCCGGACCGTGAGTGAGTGACCACGGCTGGGGCGAGCGGGCGAGGGGCGAGCGGGGAGCCCGGAGCGCCGCGATCGGATGGAAGGGGACCCGCTAGGCGCGAGCTGCGCAGATGGGGCGCCAGAGGGGTCCGGCGCCGTCCCAGGCCTGTCCCGCGACCGCCCTGCAGTTCGCCCCCAGCCACCGCGGCAAGGCCTCCGCTTCTCCCCACTCTACCGCTCTCTGGTTACCCCTCAACCCGCGGGCCCAACACCACAGAGTTTCTCCGCTAAGGCGTGGTTCTAAGCAGTCAGCGGGTTTCAGGAGGGTACTTTGCTTCTGTGGAGAGGGAACCTTGCTGGACTCTGTCTACTCTTACCCCGAAGCTTCAGAAGCATGGTGTGCTGGCAAACTGATGAATTAGGAAGCCCCCGGACAAGTTCCAATACCTTCTCTGAGTGAGTTTTCTTCAGTATAAACTGGATCCGATCATACTTTCCCTACTTAACTGTCCAGCAAGGAATGGTGTGTGTGAAATGAGTTTTGGCGAAATATGTGAACATTTGCAAATTTTAAGCTCAAAATTCACAAATTTTAGTTCGTTCTGGTCACTGTTTACTCTTGCCCAAACTGACCTCATTCAAAAACCTGGTCTTAACCTAATCATGAAATTACCATCCCAAGATCCCAAGTCTCACAACCACAGAAGAAATTTTATGTGCTTGTGGCTTCAGTGACAGCCAACTAATTCCAACACAACACTACACTCCACTTCAACCTCTTTCCGTGCTTTTTCCGTAGGATTTCATTTTTCAATTAGCATCCCCCCCCCAACGGCTAGAGGTTTTCAGCGCAAATCATTTCAGTTTGTTTTCCCAGAAGAATCCTTGCACAATAACTTTCTATCAGAGGGCCAGTGGTGCCAGGTAATCCACAGAAGTGGCTGGATCAGTAGTGTTTCTGTGGGTGCCAAGTACTTATTATCAGCATGAGGATCTTTAACATTGACCATTTCCAGTTGCCTTTCTTGAAACGTAAGCCCTGGACTCTTCCTTTGCCAAACCATCACCCATACACTCGCTATGAATTGCAGTCAATTCTTTTCCAGGGTTCTGATCATCCCATTGTGGCTCTGTTTCTCTCTTAAAATATGATGCTAACCTTAGGACAATATTTAGCCTTTAGCATTTCGTGTTTCTGTCTCACTATAAGAGCCAAAATACAATATCATGCTTTAAGTTGTACTCTTCAAAAGGAAAAGCAGTTACAGATTGCTTAGTTTAATTTGGTTCATTTATTTGATTGGTAAAAATCACATCCTTAGCTCAAGTCCCCAGAACACTGTTGCAAATGGAACACTTTGGAGAAGAATAAATAAATGAATAAAAAACATAAAAACATTAGATGCCATTATAATTGTAATCAGTTTGGGGAATTTGGGTTTTGAGAGAAGGAGTATTGACTTTATTCTGTGAAGATTAAAAGATACTTTTTTAGTAAGAATTTTAACTACATAAGCTATGAGGGGAAAATTCCCCGCTTCTGCTTTCCTAAAGTGTACATCTGGATGCTGTTAGTAGAGACACCCCAACCTATTGCAGTATTCATTGCATTCACTAGCAATCCATCCGGCACCACATCTGCTATAAGACAGAGAAACAGTCCACGAGATAACTAAACTCTACTATAGGGAGCTGTAGGGAACATAGTCAGCTATGTTTGGAAACAAACAAAATAGAATCTGCATCCAAGGAAGCACATTGTCTGCTGTTGATGTTCCATCATTAGATACGCTGTTCTATAGTGTACAAAGGAAGGCTGGGATGGCTATGGAAACTATAGTGGGAAGACTGTCCGTAGGTGAAACTTATGAGGTATGTCACTTGGCAATTTCTGGATAAGGGTAGTGTGAGAGCAAAGGTTTGGAGACTACACTGCTAGAGTTGAAATCTGTTAGCCATCACTTACTAGCTAGTGACTATGGACAAATTATTTACCTAGATTTCATCATACTTAAAAATAGCAGTAATAATGATACCTAACCAGATTGTATCAAGATTAATGTAATTTGCATGAAGACTCTGACAGTTTAAAGAAAAAGAAAAAAAGATTAAATGAGATAATAAATGTAAAGCATTTAGAACAATACTTGGGGCATAAATGCTAAATCTCACCTTTCAGCATCTAACATAAAAATGTAAATGCACCAGTAGGTAAGCCTGTTTGAACAAAGATATTTATTGCTGCATGGTTTATAGGTGCAAAATAAAAAATTGGGAGCCACCCAAACATCCTACAATAATGTAATACTTGGATAAACTATGCTTTATTTATGCTATGAACTGTTATACAGTTAGAAAGAACTAGTTAACTGGCATAACTTTTGACCTAAAGGATATTTATGTATTTTTGTCAAGTACCAAACAAAAGTTATAGATTATTGTAACTAGTATAATTACATTTTTGTGCCAACCAGGAAACACACACACATGTGAATAGGGATATTTATTTATATAAGCATGAAGAAAAGTGTGTTAAGGCATATACTGAACTGTTGACATGCATGTGAGTCATCATTGTAGTCTGTGTACGCATGGAGGAAAGTATGAAAGGATATAAACAAGTATGTCGATATGAGTTACCTTGGGGAAGGAGGATTATTGCTAACTTTTCTTTATACATCTCTGTTATTTGGCTTACTGCTGGTATTGCTTTAAAAGTTTGAAAGGAAAATTCAAGATAGCGTTAAAAATGAAAAATCAAAAGAGGAGGTAAAACTTCACATGACAGCCGGGCTCGGTGGCTCAGCCTGTAATCCCGCGCCTTGGGAGGCTGAGGTGAATGGATTGCCTGAGCCCGCGGGTTCGAGACCCGCCTGGGCAACTTGGTGAGACTTCATCTCTACAATAAATCAAAAATTAGCTGGGCATGGTAGCACGCACCTGTAGTTCCAGCTCCTTGGAAGGCTGAGGCGGAAGGATCGCCGGAGCCCAGCAGGTCGAGGCTGGGATGGCCGGGAGCGGTCACTGCACTCCAGTCTGGGTGACAGAGTGAGACTCCAACTCAAAACAAACGAACAAACAAACAAACAACAAAAAAACAAACAAAAAACTTCACATGACAAAATAGGATACAAAGATGTTTAACATTAGTTGAGATATAGTAAGCGTCTTATAATAATGTGTTGTGGGAGTTTGTGGAAGAGTTATATGGAGTTTAAATGAAGTTCACAAATGAAAGAGGAATTAGTCATGAAAATTGTCCCCTACTGAGAACTTGTATACTTATATTCTGGCTAAATGCTGTAATTTACATAGGTTTTCTGTTTTAATCTTAAAATCAACCCTAGAAGACATTGCCTCAGATATACAAATGAATAAATGAGACTGAGGGAGTTACCCAGCTAGCAGCTCATAGAGCTAGAATTCAAACTTAGATCTTTTTTTTTTTTTGAGTTGAAGTCTCACTCTATTACTCAGACTGGAGTGCAGTGGTACACACTGGCTAATGCAGCCTCAACCTGCTGAACTCAGGAGATCCTTCCACCTCAGCCTTCCAAGTAGCTAGAACTACAGGCATGTGCCAACATGCTCAGTTAATTTTTTGATTTATTGTAGAGATGAGGTCTCACTGTGTTGCCCAGGCTGGTCTCGAACCCATGGGCTCAGGCAGTCCTCTCGCCTCCACCTCCCAAAGTGCTGGGATTACAGGTGTGAGCCACCATGCCAGGCTTGAAACTAAATCTTTGACTTGTACCTTTATGCCCTGTGTTGTATATTAGAGTTTACACTTAGGGGAGTGTGTGTGTGTGTGTGTGTGTGTGTGTGTGTGTGTGTGTATTAACTCTCCAAAATATATTCATTTGGGCTCCTTTTAAAAGGGTTATTGTTCAATGTAAAGTCATAAGAAATACAAAAATTAACCACCACTGTGAGGCATGTTACAACTTTACAGGGATAACCTAATTTCTAGGTGGTTAAGTGGCAAAGGTGAACTTACTAGTGTTTGTTTAGAAGTGGTCCAGTCCATACAGCTAAAGACAATTGATTTCTGGATTATTCTGAAAGGTAAATACCAATTTGGATAAAGCATATTATATTAAATTTTGTATTGCATGGACTACTCTGCAGTAGAAAATGAACTCCAATGATGTCAAATGCGAATAGTCTTCTTCCACTTAATAAGGTAGTAGAGAGGCTCCTGGAATATCTAGAGACTTGATTAGTCTCAACATAAGGAAATTCAAATGTTTGTAACCAAAGTTATTCAGTGAGTTAAGTTTAACAAGACCATTTCTCCTGAAAATAATGCTGAGATGTATATGCTAATGAAATGTTTTGAAATACAAAAGTTGCCTAACACAAAATTATATCTGAAAATCAAATATCATTTTTTAATGAAAATTAGGCAATATAATGTTACTAAAATATCTGCTGTACAATCATTTAAGAATTTTCATTTATTTTCAAGAATAAACACTGCCCCTGTTTTACAAAATTCTTATGAATTCACCATAAGAGGAAGCTAGCATCAGAATGCCATAATTGGACATTCTCCATAAATGAGTAGATGACTTCAAATTCCATGAACTGTATAGGTCAGATCTTTTGTAAAGATGGATGTAAAGCAGTCCATATTTTTTTGGATTTTAGGTGTGTCTATATTGAAAATTATAGGTATTTCATTATCCATATTTTAATTATTGTAATGATCTTGTTATCAATATTTACAAAGATGAAATATAGAAAAAACTTGGCTAGAGAAGGCTGGATATCTCTAAACATTGATTTTATAGGGTGCAAAGTTGCAATAATAGTCTTCAGGTCCAAAATTTTATACCCTGTGAAATAAAAATAATAATTACCACATAGTCAGGAAAGTGTCATATGAAACTGTAAATGAAAAACATCTATCAAACTGCCTAACATCTACAAAATGGCCATTAAACATTATTTTAACTTTGATTGTGTCTCTAACTTTAGAATATTGCCTTTTATAGTACCTATCATGTAATAGAAACCTTTTAAGTGAAGC